CGTAAATATAAATATTAGGTAGCCTCTCGTGCATGAGGGCGCGGGTTTGATCCTGGCCCTAGCAAGTACCAATTTGATTTTTCCGAGTCATATGTACTTTCTAAGAGTATTTAGACACCACTGATAGATGAAGAAAAACATCGTGAAGAAACCTGGACTTATAATTTCAATATAAGTTTGAAATCACCAACCCGTCTTGAGCAAGCGTAGTGATTGACGCTCAAACCTTCTCCATGTGAGAAGAGGCAGCTCAGCAGTGGACTCTGATAGGCTGATGATGATATTCTGATTTGGATGACACAATCAATTAAAAGTTTCATGGTATCTCTGTAACAAGAGATTTAATCATTAGGTTTTGTATCAAGTCTACAATCTATATTAAGTTCACAATAAAATCTTACAACACTAAGAAGCAAAGAAAATATATTTAAAACTATTAATTTACAATGTCGATTTCAATATTACAAAATAAATATGATCTACTTAATTTCCAAGTTCTCTTTTTGGCAACAGTTTTATTATAATTAACATTTTAAATCAATTTGTAATGAAATTACTTATTATAACGGTAAAATTAACGGATATAAACATTTATTTATTTCGATTTAATCTATTTTTAAATTTTAATTTATCGTAAAGTAGTCATTGCTTTTTTAGGTGTATTGAATAAAACATTTAAACTCAGAAGTAAATATTCATAACTTACAGTCATTAAATATGTTCACAAAGTGTTACAAAATTGTTAATATCTTAAGATTAAATATCTTAAGATATATACCTACAGGTGAATTTTCATTTACTTTTATTAACCATCTATCGTAGTACTAGTACTTATACATTATAAAATCACATTTTTATATGTAATTTCCCTTATGAATAAATACTTAATTAAGAATTATATATTTAAAGTAAATATCAACATTACAATAACAGTAATAATTAATTTCATATAAAGATAAAATTTTATATCTCGTAGCATTATACTACGACATCGTAGCAACATGCTACGTTGTAGACACTAATTAATATATCTATCATATAAAAACAACCTAAATAACTATATAGACACTTACCACTTAACATAAACATACCTACATACTTCCTCTTAGATACATATATGTAATAAATCATTATTTATTAAACAAACAATCAATAATATCTAAGTCATCTCATCTATCTATATCTATATCTATGTGTATCTACATCTATGTGTGTGTGTCAGTTGATACCTGTGTCATTAATTCATTCCAAGACGACTTATATCCCTTCAGACATTTGCATATTACAAAGTATAAAGTTCGCTAACTAACGGGGGCTGGTAGGTTGTAAGACGGGGAATTGGATACAGGGACGGACTCACACATATTAATAATATATATATAATAAAATAATATTAATTATATATATGTATTAATTTGAACATTGATATATATGTAGAAGACTGAAGAGCAATCATTATTCATTATACATCGATTTATTTTATTTTAAATATATTTTTTTCGTAATATATTAAGTACATATGTTTGATATCATTAGTAGGTTGTATATATGTATATAAAAAATTTAATAAGAAAATTATATCAAACTGAATACATACCTGGTTAGATCGAGCGCGGAAAGATGAAGGAAATGAAAATGTACTGCAAAAAGGGGGGGTTCTCCCGGACACCGAAAATTCTATAAAGTGGGGGTTGTGGGGGGTTGTGGGTTGAGGACCGGTGGTGGGGTGAGGGGGGCGCCTTTTGTGATAAGCCTTGGGGGGCATTAGTCTTGCAGACGTTCAGAAATGAGTTCTTATCGGTCGGGATATTTCCTTTTCGATGATGCGGGCTGTTTACATTAAGGTTGACTTTATATTAGTTGGGGTTTGTATGGTGTTAGACAGAGATGGGGAGAGATAGACAGAGACGGGAGATAGTGGCTGTATTGTAGGTGATATTAATTATGATTATTATAAATAAACTATGTCACTTATTGTGAATAAAACAGTATTTACTAAGAACACGTCTATTCCCATATATGTATATAAGTAATCAATATTCTGTACAGCAGTAACATTATATCTGCTTACATCGATTCTCGAAAAATATATATGTATAATATATAGAGTATCATATTGAGAAGAATTAATAAATTATTCATAAGTAAACCATACCTACGTGCTACTGCCAAGTACCATAAAATTATAAGAACAAATTCCTTATATGGTCATAATCACATAAATATTCCATATAAGGCAATTACAAAACCTCATACATTAAATAAACTAAGTATACATAAAAATAATATTAAATTAATACATTAAACATTAATATATTCTTTATTACAAAAATATATTATTTAATTATTATTTTGTTATATAATATTTGTGTTCTATGACGTCACTGATGAGATTCCAACACTAAGGTGTTTATTATATAATACATATATATAGTATGTTATACTAAACAACATAGTAACATATACAGATATATTTAAAAATTATACATTTGAAGATATAATGTGAATTTGAATTATATTAGCATTCAAGATATCGGATTTGTATTAAGAAAGCCTTTTTTATCTTTTTTTATTTTTATAATTTATTATATGTCGCCTTGAAAAGATTTTTCATACAATTAACTATTTTTATGAAAATAAATACATATTAATAAAATAAAAGTATGATATCTTAGATAGTCTATTGATTAAAAGCATAGTCAAAATCGATTCAGCTGGTCCCTAGATTAATCGGAACAGACGGACGGATAAAAAGATAAAATAATTTTATATACATATATATGTGTATATGTAACTACCATGTACACATAAACATGATACTAATGAAAATACACTATATTACAAACATAATTTTATATATATAATATATTACACATACACACACACACACAAATAAACTATAAGTATAAACCGAAGCTCTCCCTGTGTAAGACGCTATTAAAATTAATAAAGTCATCATAATGTATGAACATTTCATATATAACAGAACACCACGTTTTAACCGACGCCGCATGAAAATAAACTTACTATGACGAATTATAATTACTTCATTAAACTAAGGTTTAAATTACACGACGTTAGTAAGAGTTTTCGTAAACTGAATACTTACAGTTTGATCGATATTAATAGTAATAATATATAATGTAAGAATTTTAACTTATTAACTGTATGTATTAATACTATGAAACATAATAAAGGCATACCTTATTGATTATATAGAAATTTAGTTTAGTACTTATATGGGAACCACAAACAAACATATATACACATGCATATAATATTATAATAATAATTAAATGTATGTACCTACCTAGTAAGTATTTGTTATACCGTTTTGGAACTTTGCCGCGTTCCAATTTTGAATTTAGATTACGTGTAGGGCTGTCCCATAGGATACTGACGGAATTATTATTGATAATAAAAACTTTTATATTAATTTTATATTGCTATATGATGTTATTAAATTTAAATTAGTTTTATTTAGATTTTTTTATAATAATAAATTTTTGATTTTTTTATTTATATAAATATATATTTTTTTATTGCATTTATTAATTATGCAGTGTCAACCCTAAGTTCCAAGAAAGCAAAGGAAGAGGCGAAGTTAGATTGAAAGGCGAAGTAAGGACGTGCCGGGACGGACTTTAACGTTTTACGATCCCGGGATTTATTACAAATATATACCGGGATTAAAACAAAAATACGGGATTCGATTATACGGTGTGACGACACTAATATTATGAATTATGAGCGTTCTTTTTTTAAACATTATTATGATACTCGTAAAATTACCACGATTCATTATTTGACGTAATAATTATGACATTATACTTTGCTTATTATTAATTAGATAATAATTAATAGATTAATAAATAAATAAGAAAAACTTGAATTATCTAATACCTACTATCGTTATTTAATATTAATATATTTAAACTCAATGAAGATAACTCGAGCGTCGTCAGAATAAACTTTCCTCAATATATTCATATGTGTAAGATAGGAGGGAATTAAACGTAATTATGTAAATAAGTAAGCCGTGAAGTAGAGGCTCCCTCCCTCCCCGGGGCTCCCTCATCCTCCTCCAAACTCCCACCACCCAAGACGAGCCCCCATTCGCGAAAACCGGCGATATTATAACTTTGCAAGCCTCGGCTAACATGTATGGATACGGCTTCTTATAAATAATACACAACAACTATTACATGCAAACCATTATAATTTATAATATAATGTTTAATATTATTAATGATATTCTTATAAGAAAATGATTATAACATTTTTGAACTAAATACTATATATAGATAATAATAATTATATATAATATATAATAGTCCATCTCCATATTTACATGACCGCAGTCTTACCGCGCTAAGAACTCGGTCGCCATCTTGAATCTCATCCTTATATGTAGTAATGTATTAAAATACCTATTTAAGTTACACACGTGTGCAGAGTGAGGTTGTGTATATATAAACTTGGTTGCCAAAGCATGTATGATAAATAGTAAATATTATGGCATATATAAAATGTTACTTATATGTATTAATATTGTGTTTTAATTATCTTTGTATGAAGGTTGAACTGTTTGTTTTGATTTATAATTTTATTATTGGCAGAATGTATCAAGTCAATGCTTTTATGAAAAAAAACTGAGAAGTTAAAGATTTTTTTTAAATAATTTTACAGTATAAAGACATGGATTTAAAATCTTCCGATGAATGCGTATAGGATAAAAGATAAAATTTGGAAAATTATTAGTAAGAAAACATATTTTCTATGACGAATTTATAACAAAATATGTTAGTTTTTCAATAAAAAATATAACGACTTTACCATAATTCTCGAAAAATTGTCAAATATGACTAATCCAAAACACCGTATATAAAACAAAAATACATAAAAATAATACATTTATTTAATAATATAAACTACAAGTAACAATAATCATGATTATATCTAAAAAATATATATTTGATTAAAACTAAATAACAATATAATTAGCGCGGCGTATTCTTTGATTGTGGGCGTTTTTTGGATGCGTTTGAGTATCTTCTAGAATGTATCAGAAGCCCTGCATCTAGAAGATCGTCTATTTGAAGAAATTCTCTACAAGAAGATGGCAAATTATTACCTTCTATGCACAAATTAATCAAACCTCTTGGTTTTCTATCAATTAATTTCTGGTGTAACAAAACGCTAAGGAATTTCTTCACTGATAAATACGATAAATTATTATAAGCCACATTCAAATAACATAAAGTGTTACATCCCATACAATACACTGTTCCGTGTCTTTCTATGGTGTTTGAAGAACTATAGGGATCGTTGAATTCACCCAAGGTATTCTCAACTAAACTCACAGCTTTGTCGTAATAGAATATGTCCATATTAGCGAGACTTTTCGCATCAGCTAGTGATTTAAGTGAAGATTCTTTTTCCAGTTTATTTCTTCTCACAGCTGGTACTCTAGTAGACTTTCTTCTTGCTACACGTTTATCAAATTCACCTGCTTTAATTTCTTCTATCATTCGTTCTATTAGAATATTCTTTTGTTTGAGGTAAAGCATATGTCTTGATCTAGCTGATATTAATTCGTCACAGCTTAATGGAAATTCTACCAAGCTGTCCAATATATATGATAAGCCGTTATCAGTGATTCTATTGCCCGATATATTAAGGTAACATAGCCTTCTATTAGTACGTAGAGCTTCCGCTATATATTTAGCTCCAATATCCGTCAATCTGTTTGTAGATATATTGAGTATGTTTAACGTAAGTGAGGCTGGCGCGGGGAATGTTAATTTTTCTGATATTTTCTTGATGACGTCATCACCGATTTTACATCTAGATAAAGAGAGGCTTCTAATAGATGTGCTGTTTTCTAGAAGTATGTCGTAATTAGCTTCTTTGAGGAAGGATCCGTCGAAACAGATTTCTGTTAAATTCGATGACGTCATCAATTTATTTATTTCGTACACCGTGTATTTGTCCATGCCGCCTCTGATTGTGATTTTGTTGACGAATAACTGGAATTTTATGATAAGAGCTATCACCTTGAACACCATTCGTGGTATACGGAAGTTCCTCTCGAAACGTATTTCTACTAGATTATCGAATGTGTCAAAAACAGCTGATATTCTTATCACCTTGTTATCAGCGACTATCGGTTGCAGCCCAGCCTCTGAAGCGTCATCTCGGTCCTGGTCTGAGTTAACGTCGTAACGGGATGTTGTTAGTTTAATCTTGCTTTTGACTTTCTTTGATTTTTCAGCCATAGTCACGCTTACGTACTCATCTGAAAGGAAATAATTATAATTTGACTAAGCATACTTTAATTAAATTCAAATTAAAGTAATATTTTTTTGGATAACTATGCGTATTTTATCATTTTAAACTACATATTACGTCCTTTCGGTTACTTTTCAGCAACCGTGATTATTACTACGAAATATTAATTTTATTTAAAAATAATAAAAAAATATATGAAATACGAACTCTGATATATCTTGCTGACGACAATTTCGCACTGCATCTGTAACTGTTTACAAGCCCAGGGTAAGTATTCCAAGAAATTATCTGGTGAAGGACGGGATTCAGACTCTTCATCCATTATATAATATATTTACAAAATATATAATATATATTATGATTATTCTTTATATGTTTACGTCAAAATGATTTGATGACAGCGAAAAAATATAGAATTTTAAAATATTGTGATGAAGGTAACATATATATAATGTTAAGAGAAATTTAAATGTTGGTATTGTTTCGAAAATATTATATGGAAAATATATGAGAAAATTTATATTTAATTTGATATAATATACTTTAAAACCACGCAACGCCGCCGTATAATCCTATCTTAACATAAACGATTTAAGCCAATAATCTTAATGAATTAATATAAGTTAGAAGCAAGATATAATCTTATAACCATTTTAAGCTAAAAATAACAGAACAAGACCCATACAAATAAACACCATAATCAACATAAAATCAGATCAAATCGTACGAAACCATCAGAATTCCTTGCAGTTTCAAAAACATAAAACAGTCCCCTACAAATCAGCGCGAAGTGGGGGCCCGCGGGGGTCGCGGGAGGGGGGCCTCGCGGGGGGGGGGGGCCGCGTCGATATTCGCGCTCGGAAGCCATCTTAAAATATAAGGCCCCCTTCCCTCTGCCTCCTTAGACGTCGCTTTTTCAAACCGCGCTCAGAGGTACGCAACCCTCCGGTCTTATGTTATATTGTGATATATTTTGAATTTAGTTTAACATATTCTTGTATAGTCGGATATAATAAATAAATAATAAGTAATAGACATTTAATACAATTAAAATATTTTATAGTTTTGATAGTACAAAGTACTTTAAGTACATGATTTCAGATCACAGATAGTATTCTAAAATATTTCATTTCTTCGAGACAAAATGAGAACCTGCTTCTTTTAAAATTGATATTGATATACGTATTATATACTTATTAGTATTTCTATTTTCTCAGAACTAAGGAGGTAAAAGTAACTTTACTTTCTCTAACTTGACATAAATAGAACATATTTAACTATTTATACATGAAAGTAATGACATGATTTGTACTTCAAAAGATCAGCCTTGTTTAAAGTTGAATGAAATGCAAAATCGAAACAAACTATTCCATAAAAATAGATAATGATAGCGAGTGTGAAAAGAAAAAAAAATCTTTTTAAAATATATAGGTACTTATACAATGTTCAAGTTTCAGCCAAAGCAACAATATAAAACGGATCAAAACAAGCTGAGAAATTCGTCTTTCGTCATACAATATAGCGTATGTTTTAATTTACAAATTAATAATTATATTTGTTAAAAAAAATCGCTATCAAAACTTTGACATTATACAAATGTCACTTGGAAACCATAAAATACAAACACGTCTCAAGACAGCCATAGACTATAGATTTATTAAATCTATGGCATTCATATTTAATATACAATACAGCTGTAACAAAGCGAACAGTAACAGAGCCACTTAAAACACATAAACTATACCCATAAAACGGCGATACAAGTTTACTTGTAAATTATCTTAAAGATAATAAATTTCTTGCCAACAACCGCCTGAATCAATACGGCATTAACTCACACACACACACACACACTCACGCCTACGGGTGCAGTAAAAACTATTGAAATGAAAATATAAACACACACATGCATAGAACGCTGCGAGCACGCACACATGCGCGCGACAGGTGTGTACACGAACCGCGCTCCCTCCCCCGCCGCCCGCGCCCCGCAGACCCCCTCCCGCCCCCCCGGTGCGCCTTAGACGTTGGCTTTTTACATGGGTACAAGCAACCGCGCAGAGACTCGCAACATTCGGCACATTAAAATTATGTAATATATTTTATATATAAATTTTTGGTATAGCGTTAAGTCGTTCACGGTATGATAGTAAGTGAGTTAACTGTACTAGTTAACTAGTAAGATGTCTAACTGGATTTGCCTGAGCCGTAAAGTAACCGGTTCGTGTTATTTCTAATCTGTGATTGTGAGCGACCCTCGGACTACATCAATGAAGCGACGTGTGGGAATGATATAAAGTTAAGAAATATATCTTAACCTGTTATATTTATTGTCGGATCTAGTTTACTCGAACAAGTTTTATGTTAAATTGAAATGCGATTGTGTTTATTCCAGATTTCCCACGAGGTCTTGGAATAGCTCCTTATTATTTTTTAACAACAATATACCAAAGATATGCCATATTTAAAAAATATTAAACTATATACCTATATAATTAAAATATATTTTTTATTTGTTATAACTAATAACATAAATATTACCCATATTTATAATAGTAGCAAAAGTTCATTTTAAAGTAGGTACATACTTTTCTAACATTTTAAATAAAAAAGGCATATACGAAAATATAGTTATTTTTATACTACAAAAATATATTAATTAATACCCTTACAACAATCACAATATCATGAAAATAAGGTAAACAAAATCAGATATTAATTCAAATCCACCCTTAGTCCACAAAACAGGTTTACAAAAAGTGACTTCCCACGATCTTATAAATGAGAATAGATTTATACGAAACCTGTTTTTCTTTTGAGGACAAGTGGAGACAGGTGAATGAGTTATAGTTTAAACAGTTAGTGGTCAAATATTGTATAAGAAGCATCATCTTCTAGTGAAAATAATTTATATTAAAAATATTAGCTTTTGTGTTAAGTGCTTGAAAGTGTATAATGAAATATTAGCAAAGTGTATATTAATAAAAGCGTGACATTTTATACGGCTAAGGTAATAAATTACCTTTAGATTACCATTAAAAGGCTATTTACGACCCTTAGTAATTTTGTTACAAACTACCAAGAAATGGTGGAAGAATATATTATTATGTCTGAAGTAGGAAATTCAAACTCAAAGTTATATAAGCGTAGAGATTTTACCGCAAGAAAACAATATCTTAATGGTTTATATTAAATATTAAATATACTTTAATTGATTAATTTTATAAACTAGGTAAATGATATTAAATAATATTAATTAGTTACAATAATGATATAATATTAACGAATCCTCAATAACTTACATAATCCTAAACAAAAATTAAAATTCACGCCCGCTGAATACATAAACGCAGCAATACCCTAATTAGACATTTAATTATAAATCCAACATGAATTCTTAACGGACTAGACATGTTAAAATTTCACTTCCCCCAACCGAAGAGCGCTATAGGCGTATCACCGCGGCCCCATCTCACTGTCTTTATAAGGGGACCACATAAAATAGTTATAGAGGGTAGGGAGCTACTTAACCGTTTTTAGGAGCGCCCCCCTCCTCCCCCCACTCCTTCAACCCACTTCCTGCCGCCTCCCAGCCACCCCACCGTCGTATAACTATCCGTATATTTTTGCAAAACTGAATTCTTCCCGAGGGTTGGCGATACCTGCCTTTTATAGTGCGCGTCTATTGGCGTCCGTATTGTTTTTGTAGTGGTGAGGGGATTTCGAATTTCGAATTCGGGTCAGCGTTTTAGTTTTAATTTGGAACGCCGGAAAACGTTTCAACCTTTTTATATTATAAAAACAGTTGTTAGCGGCCAGTATTGTTCTGTTTTTTTTTTTTATTCTTCTTCACGTAATGTAACCTCATGATACATTGCATACAGCTCGCAGCAGACGGAGCACAAAGGAGGTCTAACAGGTCGCTAAGCTAATTAATGGATAGGAGAGATACTTTGTACCAATTCTGCTTTAAACTAAAATTGCATGAAATGATATAAAGCCCGTCGTATTTCAGTGTAACTAAAATTATTTTATGATATATATTTTTTAAATATCAAATAATATTAAAAACCTTTTTTTTAAACTCATTCAGCCCAAAAATGTTATATATTTTTTTTAACACTTGTTACAAATTTTAATTAGGTACTTAGATTATTACAGCTACGTATTATACTGCTAATATTATTTATTTAATATATACATATATCTTTTACATAGGTGTATATTACCAATACCTTTGGAATTTATCAAAAAGCTGACTTCAATCTAACAAAGGCTTTATGTCTTAAGTCATAATATTCCTACAAATAACCATATATATTAGGTATATGTATATATTTATATGTATATATGTTCTTTCTTCAAAGTAATAATATAAATGATTTTCATATAACAAAATCTACATTATAAGTCTATCTGTTTATATTTAAACAAGTAATATAATCCTACATCCCTTATCTTATTTAATTGTATTATGTATGTATATGTATTTCCTAAATGTAATATAATTAAAATTTATAATGTATAATATAAGATGTTTGTAAGACGTACTTATGTATGTACGTAGCGAGACAAGGTAAAATTTTAGGGAGGCGGTGACACGAAAAGGAAAAGGTTGTAACTGAAAATTTTATTTTATAATATATTTATAAAATATTATATTTATATTAACATAGTGAATATTGTTTTGATTATTGTTACATAATTTGTATGTATAAAGTATTTTATTTATAGAAATAATAGTTACATAAAGTATGGATTAGAAACTGACTTCAAAAAAGTTGGTTTTATGATTTAAGATAAAATGCTTTTCATATATGTTTAAAACACAACATACATACATACATATTAGTTTTTTATATCTGAACTTAATTGAAGTATCTCTCTAGAGTTACTTCTAATCTATTCAAGATATTTTTCTTTACATAGTATCAGCTTTAATATATACTAAAAATCACGATAAAATATTACATACATATAAGTATATGTTGATATATTATATTTGCTAACAAATATAATATAATGCAAAACTCATTAACCCCCTTCTGTTTGCGTGGTGAGTGTGTCTTGATACAGCATATAAGTCGATCGCGAGGGTGGTTTTTACATACCCCTCAAGTATACCCACCCCACCGCGAACTTCACTTACATCACTTACAAGCGAAACAAACCTCTATCTCCATATAAATAACGATCATTATCCCATCCATTTCATCATAAGAAATTCACCCCATCGTTGCATTATATACATGGGAATTTAGTCTTTATGTACATATAATAGAGATGATTATAGCTTGTATCAAATCCAAGATTTCCACCCAA